TATTAATATTATTATTATATATGTCACTATAACACGCCTGGGTGTGTCATGTCACTATAACACGTCTGGGTGTGATATGTGTCATTATAACACACCTAGGTGCGTGCTGTCACAATAATAATTAAGGTAGGCGAGTAATCTTGTCTAAGGTGTTTCGTTTCATTACACGACGTAATTACTTATCGCCCCAAACTGTATAAATAGACCCTCAAAACTGTCGGGAATAAATCAACGAGACTACAGCTCACAGCTTCCATCTCCGATACGAAGCTACATTTTTTTTAAATTCAGAACTTCTGCCCAAAACTGATCCAGAGACATGATGAAGATCCTGATCATATCTGCGTGTCTTCTTGCTGTCGCCAACTCCGTCAGTGTAAGACATCATTGCCTCTTTATGTATGGTTCAGGGTATAATATAATTTTTGGTTATTTTCTTTGAAAGTAAGATCGTCACTGTCTCTATGCATGGTTCATGCTCCATAGTATGCTTATTTTTGAAGATCATATTATTGCCTTTTTGATGTATAGTTCATGCTGATATAGTTTGCTTATTTGTGAAGATCTTCGCTGTCTTTTTTATGTATAGTTCATGCTGATATAGTTTGCTTATTTGTGAAGATCTTCGCTGTCTTTTTTATGTATAGTTCATGCTGATATAGTTTGCTTATTTGTGAAGATCTTCGCTGTCTTTTTTATGTATAGTTCATGCTGATATAGTTTGCTTATTTGTGAAGATCTTCGCTGTCTTTTTTATGTATAGATCATGCTACATACTTTGTTGATTTTTAAATGTCAGATCTTCGATGTCTGTTTATGTATGGTTCACGGTATATAGTTTTGTTTTTTACTGTAAGATCTTCATTGTCTTTTTTAGGTATAGTTCATGCTACGTAGTTTGTTTATTTTTAAATGGAAGATCGTCATTGTCTATTTATATAGGCCTATGGTTCATGCTATAACAAAGTTTAGTTTATTTTTCAATGGAAGATCTTCATTGTCTGTTTATATAGGCCTATGGTTCATGCTATAACATAGTTTAGTTTATTTTTCAATGTAAGATCTTCATTGTCTGTTAACGTATTGTTCTTTTTGTAGTATTGGTTTTGGCTGTTGTTGTTTTTTTAAAGTAAGATCTTCTTTGTCTCTTTATGTATAGTTCATCCTATATAGTTTATCTATTTTTTAAAGTAAGATCTTCTTTGTCTCTTTATGTATAGTTCATCCTATATAGTTTATCTATTTTTTAAAGTAAGGTCTTTATTGTCTATTTACGTATGGTTCATTCAATATAATTATATATAGTTGTGTTTGTGTAATGTAAGATCTTGAATGGTTGTTAATTAATCAATATATTGTTCATGCCATATAGTCGTTTAATGGTATAGTCGTTGTCTGTCTATGTATGATTCACCCCTTTTAGTGGTTTATGTTATACTTGTCTGGTTATGTATATTTCATCCTATATAGTTTTTTCTTCTTTTGTATGTTATATTTATTATCTGTTTTATATTTATTTTTCAATCTATATATATATCTATATATATATATATATATATAAAGGTATATATTTCTCTATAATATGTATATGTACAGTAGTTTTTTTAATGTATATTCCTGCACAAAGACCGCACGTGATATTCGATAAAAATTCTTTCCAAACGAGAATTGAACTCGGGTCTCCTGCGTGGGACAGCAAAGCGCTTGGCCGCTATACCACAGACGCCTGTCCCGACTCATGGATGATCGAAATGTGTCGCGACGCGGTGGAATCAGGCGCTCGTCCATTTTTTTGGCTTATGGAGTGATTGGTATCATCTTAAATCTTGTCTATTTGTCCTGCTTTCTTGGTGGGAAAATACACATCTATCTTGTGGGTGGTTGGCGGGTGCTCTGGTGTGGTTTGCTCCTTCTTTCCTATCAAACATCTATCGTCCTTATCTCCCCTCTTCTTTTTTATGTTTGTTACTCTCTTGTAACACCTCTAATCTTCTGGCACTCATATGACCTTATGCAGTTGCGAGTGCCGTAAAACATCTACTAAAACAAACATCTATCTTGAACAGGGTTTGAGATATCGGGACCTCACTGATCAGTGCTTTCTTGTCCTATCTCCATTTTTTAAACATTGAAAAAGTGATTTCTTCTAAAGCTCACTCTTTGTTATGTACTGTTTTCACTGTTATTAAAAACATCTACATTTCCTGTTTTTGTGTTTGTTTGTTTTTGTTTGTTTTTGTTTGTTGTTGTTGTTGTTGTTGTTGTTTTTGTGTGTGGTTTTTGGGGGGTTGGATTTTTAATTTTTTTTTAAAAAATTGATAAATGTTTTTCACTGGGTCAGCTGGCGGGAACTCGCGGTGCCGGGGACGCTGACGTCACTTCCCTTGTCCATGACGTCAGAGAACTGTTGGAACAGGCCAGGAAAGGTAAGGAGTAGCGAGGGCGTGACGTCACCCGGGTCATGTTGAGGTCACGCTTAGATATAGATAGATAGATAGATAGATAGATAGATAGATAGATAGATAGATAGATACATACATACATACATACATACATACATACATACATACATACA